GTAGAAGTAGTGGTCTTTGAGCGACCGCCCTTCGTAACATTGATAGGCTTAGCAACTGCGCTGCGAGCAACGATGGAGCTGACACCAAGCTTGGCTGCGACGGCGTTGGCTTTGTTGATCTGCGAGTTTGTGATGGACGGCACTTTAGGAGAGGACTGAGGCGAGGACGAGCTAGTGCCTGACCTGACGCTGACGATGTTTGCCCTGGCCTGGTAGGCCTCCTGGGCCGGGACAGGGCTGACAATGGCGTTGTGACGGTAGATGGTCGTGGCGACGCTGCTGCGAGCGAGACTGGGGCTGATGCTCTTGCCGTCGTCGTCGGTCATGCCAGACCACATGGAGTCCCGGATGTCGCCGGGCACGAAGAAGTGCTGGTTCTGGCCGTTGGCGACGGCCGATGGGATTGGAGGCACGGGAGGGACCATGAGGTCTGGCGAGCCAGGGGCCGATCTGTTGGTGACACCGGGGATATATGCGATCTGGATGACGTTGGAGGCCCTGGTGAGGACGGTGGAGGCGATAGAGCCAACGGCAGACTGTCTCCTCTGGCTGTTGCCGTCGACGTCGACGCTGCTGGCGGCGTTGGTCTTTTCGTGCCATATCTCGGTGTTCTTGCGTCGGCGACGGACGCAGAACCACCAGGTCAAGAGGATGGCGGCGAGGAGGGCGATACCACCGACGACACCGCCAGCAATGGCGCCTGTGGGAGAGCCCGAGTCGTCGGACGGCTGGTTGGCGAGGGGATCAGGGACGCAGATGGCGGTAGCGCAGGCTTCGCACGATTTGGCCGTGAGAGTGCATATCTCCTTCTCCTTGCAGGTTGGACATGGCGGCGCCTCGGTCGGGCAGTTGACGACGCATCGACGGAAGAGCGTACTTGGGCTCCGCCCGTAGATGGCTGTCCACGGATGTTAGCAAAGCCAGCAAAGCGAGTCGATGAGGGCAATGCATACCTGATTCTGGGTTCATGATGGGGTCGTTTGCGGTGCAGACCGAGCGGCCAGTAAGCCCGCGCGAGATAGAGACAGACGGACGGACGGACGGAGAGAAACAGAGAGAGAGAGAGAAAAGGAAGTGAATGAAGAAGCAGGATGGAGTGGAAAAGCGAATGTCAGCTGCGCAGCAGCAGAATCAAACGAGCGACGGTGAAGGGTGAAAGAGTGAGGACGACGAAAGAGAAAGACGGGGGGATCCCGGGGCGAGGCTGGACGGCAGTAATAATAATAATACGGAGTAATATAAGAACAGTCTTAACGGTCGAAAGTTGGTTGGGCGTTGAAACGAGTGTGAAGCGACGACGGCTGCGAAAGTCGGGCCAGATCAAATCAGGGCAGACATCACTCGCTCAGCGGCTCTTCGACAGGCGCCGTTGGTGATGCAGTGAGACAGCGGGTAGAGGAGACAAACGACGACGACGACGACGGCGGCGGCGACGATGTAGAACGAGAGACGGCGAGAGCGTCGAGCGAGCGAGGGCGAAGACGAAGACGAGGACGAGGATGAGACATCGCGATGTGTTGTCAGAAGAAAAGACGGAGGACGGGCGGGAAATGAGCCCAGGGCCGCGGCTAGGGCGGGCGCAGCAGGTCGCGGGTGGAGCCCGAGTGGGCCAATCAGGGGCGGCGATGGGGCCGAAGGGGGTGGGGCGAGGGTGCCTGGCTAGCCGCTTTGGGCTACTTCGGCCCGCGAAGTGGAGACATGACTTGGCGGTCGTGCCTTCCTATTGGGTGTTAAAGCACGCGCCAGGCATGACTCAGCAGAAGCGGGTGGACGGCCCAGATCAGGCTAGTGGGATCGGCACGTGATGAAACATCTTGCTGACTACTGTCTTAATAATGAACATGACTAAGCATCTTTCTCGGCCTCGAAGCGGCTCTCAATATAAAACTCGAACAACATCATCGAACGGATCGGATCGTGATATACCTACATGGCCGTGGAGAACGTCTGCAAGCTGCGGTTTGCGTCTAAAGCTTTTGTCTGTCAAGTCGTCAGAAGGGTATTTTCAGCAGCATTTCAGCCACTCGCAGCAAGACGTGGATCTGGCGGGCCAGGCACTGCAGGCATTCACCAAGCGAGTCGAAACAAAGTCTTCAATCATGATTGCCTAGACCATGTGCATTTCATGGAAGATTCGAACAAGACCCTCCCTGCGTTGTGCGGCTCCATATTTGTTTGCCGAATTGGGTCAGGATGGTAGGCTATAATGTCGACATACGGGATTAAGTTATATGTGCTTCCGGGGAGAGTAAAGCAGTTTGTATGAATACTTCTGTCCGGGGAGGTTTCTAGTATTGCAAGCCAACTACATACCACAAGGATGGTCTGTATTGATGCAGTAATTAGTGATCCGAAGCTCTGCTTGCCTTTGTTGCCGGCGTAGTACTAACAAGTGGTATGTTACGTCGGCGAATGCGCTGGCTACTTCTCAGAAAACGACTGTATCGGTGGTGACACCTGGGGATATAGAGGCTCGTTATTGTGCTAACCACGACGCTAGAAACTAAGTGCTTAACCGACTGTACTTGATATGCATCATAACGTGTATATATCAGCTGTTTGGTCTAACTGCTAGTCGGGGACAAGTTTTCTTAGCTGCTGCTGTTTTGTCTGCTATGCTATTATTGTCGATATGAAGCAACAGCAGCAGATCTACGGGCCTTGGAGAAATTAACAAACAAGCAAAGAAGATGAAAGAAGACTACATGATCTACCGGCATATTCGGCTGCGATGCGAATGGCTAACTTAACTAGTTAGCGCATGCACAGGCGCCGTGCATGTTCCTGTTTCGCCGTCCAGTTGAAAATGTGGCTGTTACACTGCACAGCCAAGCCAGAGTCTCTGTATCGTCTGATTTGGTAGATGGCTATTATTATCAAATACGCTCGATCCAGGATCAGGCTACCAAACCGGCCTACTGGGGGATAGCGATCAAACCAAGGGCTGTGACTCGACGACGCTGCCTGCATCCGGTCCCCCCCCCCCCCCCCCTTCCGGAAGACTTTGCTGGAATCCGGGGAGGATCGGGCTTTGGATGCAGCCAGTCACTCTCTACCGCGAGCTCTGCTTGGTTCGCTTGTTCTCTAGTTCGAGGAGATAACCAGGTATAGCGACACGGAGTGACCGAAGTGAATAGCAGGGTGGTAAGAATTCAGGTTCACTGCTGGCTTTTGTCGAGCTTGGTATAAAAGGAGAGTACGAGAGACATCGGCCAGTCAGTATAACCAAACCTCCTTTCAAACCAGCCATCAACTTAGCCTAGTAGCTAGCCATCTAGCTTGCAAACATGGGAGACCACCAAGACCGCCAGTTTGAACAAGACAAGTCCCGCTACGTCATTCCCGGGGGCAGCGTGGAGAGAGACCGTCTGAGAGTCCAGCACGAATGGATCAAGGGCACGGCTGGAGGCCTTATCAAGGCGCCCCTTGATCTAACGGCCCATGGGATGAAGGTCCTCGACTCGGCTACTGCTGATGGTAAGTCGGAAACACGCTGTATGCGAACATGGCAACGAATTTTATCTGACTGATCTGGCCAGGTTTCTGGATCCAGGATGTCCGTCTCGTGCTGCCTGATGACACCGAGTATGTTGGCTTTGATATTGCGTATGTCCGGTCACTCCCTGCTCCTGCTCCTGTTCCTGTCCCTGTGGATGTATGAGTGCAGGTGGCTCTATCATGGGTATCATAACTAATAATGGGTGTCAACCAAAAAGGACTGAGCTGTTCCCAGCGCGCGAGAGCCTGCCTCCAACGGTGTCCCTGGTGCCGCACAGCGTGACGGAGCCCTTCCCGCCGGCCTGGGAGAACAGCTTCGACCTTATTAACCAGCGTCTGCTGTTCGCCTTCTTCCAGCGGCAGGAAATCAACCAGATCGTCAAGCGTCTCGTCGGCTGTCTCAAGCCAGGCGGGTGGATCCAGTTCTTCGAGTATGACCACTACACCATGGTGACGGACCCGCGGGCGACGACCTACCTGCTCTTCTACAAATTTGCAGAGCAGAAGGTACGCAACCTCCACGTCAAGCGGGACATCATGGATGCCCTTGCAGACGCTGGATGCGAGAACATCCAGAGCGAGTGCCTGGAGATGGTGGCTGGCAGCGCCCATGTCGATCGCGAGCAGGGCATGCGAGGCCGGCGGGTCAGCCACGTCCTGTTCCACTCCTTTGGCAGTCTCGTCAAGTAAGTCGTCCAGTCATTGTCCATCCGCTTGAGCTATCCACTGCTAACATGCGGTCCAGGCTGGAAGATATTGGGCTGAGCGAGGATCGCCGGCCGTCGCTCGCCGCTGAGCTGGAGAAGGATATGGACATGTACAAGACGGGGGTCGCTGGCAACTTCATCTGGGCGCAGAAGAAACGTCCTTAGTCTGAAACAGCTGCGCGAGAGAAAGGGGTTAACTAGCTATCTCAAGCTATGGAGATGTTTCCAAGCAGCTCCAACTAGTTAAAGCGCTAGTTTGACTTGGTTGGTCATTGTTCTGTCTTCTCTCTGGGCGTCCTGGAGTAACCTCTCTATCACTCGAGCCTCCACAACTAGAATAGATTTTTTCCATACGTAGTTTTGCGAATGCTTTCACAAACTACAGTATAATCTTCTGGCTTAACGGTTGTAATTGTATAATGGTAACATCGATGCGCGTGATTTTCCTCATGATACCCCAGCTGTAGATGAGTTTTTTCACAGCATCCCCCGTGCCAAATATTGTGTCGCTGTTTATTACGACTTGACAACCCGCAGCCGCACAAATGAAGAATAAAAAGCTCTCTATCGTCGTGTAGACGACGGAACTGCTCGGCCAGCTGCTCTGGCGCATCTGCGAAGTTGAGAAGGTATGCCAGTGTTGCGACCCTCATTTTTGTACTGAGCCTCGGTGTCGTCTGCAAGTCGGTTGACATCGAGTTTGCGCATGATACCCCATGTCCCTCGATCTGTCTCCCCGTCAGAAGAAGATAATTCCTTGCCTTGGTGCACAGGTCGGCCACGACAATACCAGGGTTCTTCTTTTCTTCTTGTGCGCCAGTTGTTATACAAGGCCGCGAGTACCGCGTGTGGTTGAATACCGCGATATCAAGCTCGCCGCCTCTCGCCTCCGCGCGTTCATCTGTATAGAGATAGCTATGGTGCTGGCCTCCCTCGTTATGACGGCAAAGACACTGGCGTGTCTCGAGTGGTTCAACGCGGACAGCCGGTTCTCCTCGCCCAGAGGGAGCAAGCGATGGCGGCGTAGTCTCTCCAAAGAGGACTTTCAGAAAGCCTCCAAAGTCCTCCCAGCACGTTGCATACGGTTCGAATATCGAGAACAGGGCGGTCAAGTGCTTCTTGCGGCCTACACCCTCCATGACTCGTATAACTAGTTAACTAAATATAGAGCGTGGCTCGGGATCGATGGACTGGCGGACCGGGGGTAACTCGTTAACTAGTTATGGGAGGTCGAATACGAACGATATCCACTGTCACTCGCTGAAGAAAATTGCAGAAGATGCACATGGGGAAAATCAGAAGAAGAGAATAAATATAAGGTGATGCCACTTCTATTACTTGATAAGAGTTTTATTTTTATTTTTATTATCTATTTATTTTATTTGCGGTCTGTCATGTCTCACCAAGACACTAGCTAACATGCGTCTGCTCAACACCAGGTCCCTCCGCGTCGAGGAGTTCTTCGACGACAGCGCGCTGCCGGAGTACGCCATCCTCTCGCACCGATGGCAGGACGAGGAGGTCTCGCTGCAGCAGCTGCGGGACGGCCAGGCGACGGCGATGCGTGGCTACAAGAAGCTGGTGGACAGCTGCTCGCAGGCGCGGCGCGACGGCTTCGACTACGTCTGGATTGATACCTGCTGCATCGACAAGACCAGCAGCGCCGAGCTGTCCGAGGCCCTCAATTCCATGTACCAGTGGTACCAACGGGCCAACATCTGCTATGCGTACCTGTTTGACGTGGACGAGACCCTCGTCGCCGAGCAGTCGAGCTTCTACCGCAGCGCCTGGTTTACTCGTGGGTGGACGCTGCAGGAGCTGCTTGCACCGGCCGCCGTCGAGTTCTTCAACGGTGCCTGGCAGAGGCTCGGTAGCAAGCTCAGGCTGAAGGATGCGATATGTGAGGTGACGGGCATCCATCCCGGTGTGCTCACGGGCGAGCTGGAGCTGCAGTCCTTCTCCGTTGCGCAGCGCATGTCCTGGGCTGCTCGCCGCACCACGGCCAAGGTCGAGGACCGGGCATACAGTCTGCTGGGGATCTTCGGCATCAATATGCCCATGCTGTACGGCGAAGGCGAGCGGGCCTTTCTGCGCCTGCAGGAGGAGATTATGAAGCAGTCGGACGACCACTCCCTCTTCGCCTGGAAGAGCGCTGACCCAAACCACCGCGGCCTGTTTGCGAGATCTCCAGAGGCCTTTGCAGAGAGCGGCCATCTCGTCCAGTCGGCCAGCAAGTGGAACATCAAGCCCTACTCGCTGACCAACATGGGTCTCTCGATCGAGCTACCCATGGTCGAGTGGTCGATGGGTGTATACCTGGCCGCACTGGACTGCGAGACCGAAGGAGTGCAGAACAGCCGTGTTGGTATCTTCCTCTCTGACCTGCCGGAGAAGAACCAGTATGCCCGCGTTATGCTGGACGGTGTCGACCTCCCTCGCTTTGCAACCAGCCGCCAGAGCCAGTACCGCCACATCTACGTGAGACAGCACATCCGAGGGTCTTTACGGCCGGTGGAACGCGAGTACGGCTTCTGGCTCCGTCGCATACCCAAACCCAGCTTGTCTCCGGATGCCACTTTCGACGTCACTGCTTGGAACAACAAGTGGACGAGACAAAACATGGTCTTCACCATTCCAAAGGGAGAGTGTGGAACTGCGGTTGTTATACGGTACAAGCTCGAGAAGGGCCGGACAACCAACATCAAGCTGGGATTCGATCCCAAGTTCAATCCTGTCTGCCAGTTCGGGGGCCAGTACTACTCGCCAAAAACCTTTGGCTCTCCGTCTCGGGACACTTTCCAGGGTATCATGGCGACTGACTGGATGAATTCTCGTCTCGAAGGAGTTCACGTTGGCGACAAGCAGACCGGCTTGAACGTCGACGACTTCCATCGCATCCTTATTCTCAAGGAAACAGTCAAGGGTAAGGAAATGTGGGTGGTCTACATTGCCGACTATGACGAGGAGGCCGTATGGTATCAAGATCGTGTTTGTGATGGCTGCAACTTGGTAAGCTGACTTTGTCTATCAAACTGAGAGGCAGAGGGAGAGATAGAGAGAGAGCCAACATGTTGACAATGATAGACAATATTCGGCCGGCTGTACAAGTGCAGCGAGTGTTCAGGGTTCGACTACTGCGAGGACTGCTACGCAACGGCAGACAAGACTCATCCCCAGCACAGGTTCAAAAAGGACAAACAGGTTTGTCATGTGGGAGTCAAGTGTGACAGCTGCGCCCAGGTAAGCAAATACTCCGTACCAAGGGGTTACGCCCTGGAACTGCGAGGCTGACGCCGTGTAGAAGGTGTATGGGAGCCGCTACAAGTGCTGTCGCTGCCCGGACTTTGATCTCTGCAGCTACTGCTTTTCCAGTGCTATGAAGATCCACCCTCAGCATCAGTTCACGGAGATCCAGAAGCCGTAGCTTTTCTTCTTCTCTCCCCGTTGTGCGTATCAAAGGGACAGGGGTTGGGGAAGGTGTTCGTGGCATGGAGTACAAGCTGTTGGTAAAAGCCAGAACACACATGACGAGGACAATATGGCTTTCGTCGATACCTTTATCGATTACCATTGTCTGTAGGTATATCGATGCAGACATCATTGCCCATGGATGGCCAGCAGGGAGTTTTCTGGATGGGATTCTGTACGGAGTAACTCCCTATAACTACTGCGTGTTGACTGCACCGTTTTGTGCAGAGTTTCCACGCTCTATCGGCGGGTGAAGCCAGTTACACAAAGCCGTATACTGAGAGCAATGAGTTCACAATATAAATGATACAATACAATTAGGCTCGGCTGCGGGCTAACAAATAGTCCCTGTCGTCTGGCAGTTTTACCGTGACTACGTGGAAGATAGCTATCGTGCGGAAGCATGGGTTGCGGGCAAGATATACTGTCATTGTTGTTCTGTCATCATGTTGTGTCTCACTAATGATGTACAAACATGCGATGAAGGGTATAAGTATGTGATATCTGCCCGGTCCGCAAGAGCCGTCACGCCCTCGCCACGGCCGTGAGCGGACTCTGTTGTGTCTGTTCGACAGGTCAGTTATCTTGTTAGGGCTCACGTTTGTACTAGACGGATTGGATCGATTGGTGCTTGCGTTTGGGATCATATCGGCCTCGCGTCTCCGCAGATGTTGGATCGTGTGATTCATGAATAGAGTCCGTCCTCTAGTGACGCCCTTAGTGCGTATTAGAAGTTGCCTTCTATGCAAGAATCGTCTAATAAAAACTTTTTTTCAAGAGTATTACTCCGTGTAGTTAGTCTACTCCGATTCGACATCCTCCCTCCTTGCATATACTAAAATATATAAAGACTTATATAATGTATCAGAAAGGAGGATGATGAATGTGCTGAAGGTGCAGCGAGATACGATGACTAATACAAAACTGACAAAATGTTTGCGGCCTTCGAGCGCCCAGACAAGAGAGAGATGGCTTATGTCAGCATTGTTTTTTTTGATGTTGAAGTAAGGTTTTGATAGCAGCTCGCTGATTGGCTACAAGCTTGTTCGATTGGTATCCAATCAGAGTGGACCATAAGAGATGCAACAACCAAAACTTCGAACTTTGGGCTCTTTGAATAATAATAACCGTTTGGCCGCTTTTGCCACGAAAGGAGAAAGATGGCAAAAACAGCTTCAAGACGTCATTTATACCCAAAGGAATATATGAAGTATATAGGCTTTCTTATTTGCCTATATATTCTTGGTCTTGTCCCCATGGTGTGGTCTTTGATTTGGCTAGTCGATAGCTATACTTTTACCAACGCTGCAGAAGTCAGTAAATAGTCATTATGATACTGGATACTGACTTAGAAAAGCTGGAGCTGCTCTCTCCCGATGCAAGTGATCTGCAAAGCCGACATTCTACCCCGTTTCTTAGAAAATTCAGTATACCTCGGGCTCGTGAGTGGCTCTCGCGGCATTGCATACCAAAGAAGAAATGTGATTCGTGTCAGCACGAAAAGGAGCGTCACAAGGAAACACAGGAGCTTATCCAGCTGGAGTGTGAGAAGCTGAAGCAGTATCTGTGCCAGAGGGGGTCTCAGCTACGAAAGGGGTATGAACTGCAGATGGAGAACGTGCAGTACAAGTGGCATCGGCAGCAGGCAGAAATTGAACGGCTGAGAGCATATATCACCCGTGAATGTCAACAACAGAAAGAGTATCAGCTGCAGAACTACAATAGTCTCCCCAACCGAGTGGTAGACATTCAGAATCAAAAACACGAGCATCCAGCTCTCAGCCAAGCTTCACTTCACCCTTCTAATACTCAAGAAGCCACGGTGAAGAAAATGTTTGAATATATGTGCTATATCGAAACGCACGACAACAAAAAAATAAAGGAATATTGCTGTCGAGGGTGCCAGGACCAGCACTCTTCAACTGCAAGCTTCTCGCAGCGGGAGCTTGATAAGGCCCCATCGGAACGGTAATGTCTGGAGACTCAGCCAGCCATTCAACTTGGTACACTCCCTGGCATCAGCTTCAGGGATGTTAAGAACTTAGTTCTTGCGGCAAGAAATAAAGGGAATATCGAGACATTTCCTGAAACAATACTCGAATATTGTCTTCGCATATTTCCTACAAGCAAACATAAGAAAGTCACCCGTTATGACTTCGCCTATATGTTCTTCAACATTGACTACCCCCTGTGCCCGCACACGCAACTTTATGACGCCCTTGCAAAAATGATATTCACGACATCTGGTCCTACTTATAGTAACGAGATTGTTTATGGATGGGCTGATAAATCCGACCAATGCAGAGCTTGCAAAACGCATATATCGCTCGAAATACTACCGTCAGATACCCCCGGTAATGATAACCAAGAATGGTGTGCACTCAAAGTGAGGAGGACTATAGGAAGGCTCTACTCGCCTTTAGAAGAAGACTGGCTTGCACAGGCCTACGCCTATGACTACTCCCCTATCGATGAGCACAACAAACTAAGTGATGACTGGTTCCGGGCTTATTGGCGGACTCTATCTACAGGTAGCCCTAGCTTAAGAAGGCCTGGGTTCGACTTGAAAACGTGCCGGGACCCCGCCCATAGATGCCCTAACCGCTATGCATGGGACCCTATTCGGCCATCTCGCACGGCTTCTGATGAACAATACTGCGTGCGTAGATGGGTTCGTTCACAGTCTAAAAACTCCAAGGCAAGGGTAATAAAGATAAAGACTTGCGATGGGATCGTCGCGGTGGAAGAAGGGCAGTAGCCGATAACCAGTTATCACTTATCCCTAGGAATAGTTATGCTTTTGCTCTAGCTGCTGTCCATTATACAAGTATAAAGCCTTTATTCTCTTGTGTATTATTTCTCTGCCGACCTTATATTGAGGAGTTTGTTACTATATAGTATACCATATAACTATATTTTTGTGTAAATATATATATTTTCCTTTGGATAATATATAGTTAACCCATCTTCTATTCATGAGTTGAGGCTTAGGAGCCGATATAAACTTTCCGCCAAGTCACGGGATCTAACTAACTCCACTTACCTAAGCTAATAACTAGGTTCCCGGAAGAGCCGCTCGACCCCACCACATCCAGCCAGTCACTCACAATAACTACAATATCAATACCTCCTTCAACACTCCTTACTCAAAGTTCAACTGCCTTCTCGACAAGGACTCCAGTTTGAAGCTGGCAGATTTTGGTCGTGCCACCACTATTGGACGGTTCCTTGAAGAAACCATGCCTATACCTTCACGCGCCAGCGTAAGTAGCTAGTTGTTGTTGGGCCTTTGATCTTCAAGACGCTTACAGTACCAGGCGCTTCTTCCAGTCTTGGAGCTCGTCACGTCGAGTTCAATTAAGCAGGCCCGTCTCAGACAGTCTTTCAGCATGAACGTAATGGCAGACTCTGGCGGAATCCCTCTCTGACCTCAACACTGTCAGTCGAGGTCGAGAGTAGGAGATCACTGCTTTTGTCAAGAGAGAACGGAACCTCACCAGCGCGAGGTCGTGGCGGCAATCTGGCCGCAAGTGTGGACCGCCCTGGTGACCACGGCTCTGGCGTTGATCACTGGAATAGATTTTTTTTTTTTTTTTTTTTTTTTTTTTTTTTTTTTTTTTTTTTTTTTTTGAGAGGGAGAGAGACCTGAGAGATAGGGAGAGAAGAGCGAGAGACGTCTTGGTGGAAAGGGAGAGAGTGGTGACTCAGAGAGAGGCAAGGCAGCAGGCTATCGACCAATTAGTGGCTGCACTAGTTCGGGCGATCGTCCTGGATCACAAACAACACCTGCGTTCTATTGGCACTCAGGGCATCGTTAGGTGCCTGTAGAAGGGTATTTAAAGCTTTCTGACCTCATCTTGGTTGGGGGAAGACACCTCGGTGAACAGTTATTTCTCCTAGAGAGCGAAAGCAAAAGGATCGAAGTAAAGGAGGACCGGAAGAATTAGCCCATTAAAATCTCCTGGCGATAATGCCAGACAAGCTGCATCCCAAACGTGTCTCAATCTTTTCTTTTCCTTCCCTTCTCTCCACCGAGAAGCGAGTAACTGCGTCGAGGTAGACGCTTCAGCGATTTCACTCTCTTATTCTCTCTTCCTCCCACTGTCAATATCTCATCTACTAATTGGGATCACAAATCAACAATAGCTGTCTTCAGCATGGATACTGTCGAGAAGCACAACTGGGTTGCTGGGGGTTCATATTCCAATATCCACCGCGTCACTCCGAGTATTGTGGTGAAAGTTGTTCGCCCTAAGCTGCGAGAGGAGGGACTGGAGCATCCGTTCCTCAAAGAAATCTCCTTTTTCAAACAGGTGGATGAGCGCCGGGATCGATGCTCCAGTATAGTCGAGTGTTTCCTCACGCTCCCCGACTATCTTTTCCTACCCTACTGTCCGAACCAGAGTGTCGGCCATCGATTGCGCCCTCGCCAGGAGCGGGAACCAGGGGTAAATGGCTTCCAGGGACGTGTGAGTCGTGTGACAGAATACGAGGATCCTGCTCTTGTCGCTCGATGGCTACAACAAGTCGGGTCAGCGCTTGAATACGTCGAGAAGATGGGCTTTTGTCATAATGACCTGCATGAGTTCAACTGCCTCCTCGACAAGGACTTCAATTTGAAGCTGGCAGATTTTGGTCGTGCCACCACTATTGGACAGTTCCTTGAAGATACCATGCCTCCACGCGCCAGAGTAGTTGTTGCTGGGCCTTTGAAAGACACTTACGGTCTCTGCTCTGCTAGGACCGAGCAATTTGCCCTTGGATCTCTTTTGTACTTTATGGTGTACGGCCATGAACCCTACGAGGACACGGAACGGGAACTCAGTCGATCAGAATTTGATCGCCGATTTGGCCAGATGGAGTTTCCAGAGCTGCATCGCCACGACGTTTTTGACGAACTTATTTCTGCTTGTTGGCATAACGTCTATCCTACGATGGCTCTCGCAGCCTATGACTTTAAGCGCAAAACAAAAGACATCGCAGGCTTGATTCCAGAATACGAGACCATTGATCGTGCGAAGGAGATAAAGAGCTGTGAAGCCTTGATTCGAAAAGGGATCCTTGGGCCTGAACTGGCGCTTCGTTACCAGCCATTCAGTTGGAAATTTCTCCATGCAGCGAGGAACATGTTTTGGAAGGCTTTGGCTGGTCTACCAAGGAGAATCTGGCTGTGGCTCTGGTCTTGATTGTCAGAAACTTAGGGAAAAGAGCTTTCTGCCTGGGAGCTATAATTGTAAAGAGATTGTGTCTTGTATTACATTGCGATAATCAATGGCCACTCGAATCAGGGTTTGGTAACATTGTTTTACTGGAAGAATAGATTGCATCGTGTTTGCAGCATTCCGAAGATACAGTCAGAAAAAGAGTATACTTCCGCTTTATTCATCGTAAGAAACACTGAGAACATTGAACCTGAACTGAGCCGGTGCCTTGCCGATATTGACACCTCCCTTGCTGACGGTGATGAAGCCGCTGTCTCCTCCCGTTGCATACTTCATGCTGTAGCCACGAGAACCACCCTTTAGGCCGGCATCGAAGGCAATATCTACGGGTGCCGCAGCGTCTCGAGACTCAACAAGTGTCCCCTCAGGGCCGATCCAACGCTTCTTGTCAGGAGTCGACACCAGGAACGGGCTGTCCTGCTGTGTCAGGCGAGTCTCCAGGTCTGTGGCCCCGTTGTTGTAGTAATGGATCACGAAGCGGGTGTCCGGCTGGGCGTAGCGCATCGCATCAGTGGAGGACTTGGAGATAACACCAAGCTTCGACCCGCCCTTGTGAGAAACCAGATACTCGTTCTTGTCCTGAGCGGCAGAGAAGACGAGATATCGGCCCTCAGTCAGGCTGCCGATGACCTGCTTGTAGCCTTGCTCGATGAGACCTTTGGGAGGGAAGGTCTTTGGCTGAGTCTTCCAAGGGGCGGTTGGGTTGCCGAAGCGGGCTTTGCACTTGGCCATGCCGTCCCAGGCGCCGAGTGCGTTTTTGCTGGGCACTTCAGCCTTGGGGATGTTTGGAACAGAGGTGTCAGCCTGGAGGGAGGGTTGTTAGCTGCCGCTATCCAGTGGTCCGCAAGGAATATCTTGCTCACGCACGTTCTCAAAGTCCAGCATGCTGACCAGGTTGGACATATGCTCTCGGCGCCAGTGGACCATGCTGGGCAGGGTAACGTTGCTGTACCCTCTGCTGGAAAGCCACTCCTCCACAAAGAGAATTTGGGAAGTATGGTCTGCGTGCTCAGTGAAGACACGACCGCCGCGGGTGAAGGGGGAAACGACGTAGAAAGGCAATCTCCAGCCTGGTACAACACGGTGATTTAGTATGAATATGCATATTTGAATATGCATATTTGACACATGTGGCATGGGTTGCGGCTACATACCTGGACCAACAAAGATATCGCCCTGGACACCTAGATAGTCTTTCATCCATTCTCCTGGGGTTCCCTTGGTAGCGTGGTAAGGCGTAACGTGGTCACCAAAGCCACCAGACTCTAGCATATCAATTAGCAAGCCGTCCAGCCGCATGTGTCACAGCAAATACAGAAAACTTACCGTCGTAGCTGATCAACAGGACAGTCTTGCCATATTTGGGGCTCTGGGTGACGGCGTCGATGACCTGCTGCTGCAGCCATGCTCCGTCCTTTGGCAGCCAGGGAGGGTGCTCAGATAGCTCCATGGGGCCAACGATAAAGCTAACTTCAGGCAGATTGCCAGCACGAGCATCCTGGTAGAACTTGTCTAGTCCGGGGTATGACATGCCCTTCTTAGTGAGAGGCGAATCTGGCGGGGCGTCGCGGAACTTCTTGAAGTGAGCAAGAGGGTTGTCCCCAAAGTTATTCCTGTCCTGGTAGACCTGCCATGAGACGCCGAGATCTTCATACAACTCGTAGCAAGTCTGCCAGTTGAGAGGGTAACAGTTGATGTTTGGAAGCGGGCAGCCTACCACTTTATTAGCCGTACACATGCAGATGGACTTCGATTGCATGATAATTACCTGGCACTTCCCAGTTGTCAAGATACGTTCCGCCGTCTCCTGGCTTCTGGGGGCTTCCTGGGACGTTGAGAGATCCGCTAACCAACATGACTCGGTTTGGGTTGGTTGCTGTGATAGAAGATTGCTGCTACACATTAGCCAAGTTTCGCTGTACCTCTCTGCCTTCCCCGACTGCAGTTCGGAAGGATGACGATGGCTGCATACCTGGTACATATCACCAACAGTCCAGCCTTCAGCAACAGAGAAGTGGACGGGGATTTCACTTCGCTTGAGATATCCCCAGTTGGCTGGCTCCCCGAAATACTGCCAGCGGTCGTTTTTGCCATGGTTCAGACTGGCCTGGTTGTAGTCGTAGCCGTTGCTGCCTCCAGTGGCACACTGGGCACCCTCAGCCCATGCTCCGCCCTGGTGAGCCAGATGCCATGGAGCCAAAGTGTTGACTCCCTGTCTTGCAGGCGTGACCTTTCTGTATAATATCGGAACATCAGCATCAGCATCTGTTAGATCTAGGTTATACAACTATATGTAGTGGGACACCACTCACTGGATCAAGACAGGTCTGCCATCTTCATTGATCTGGACATTGGGATCTGCAAAGTTGCGAGTGCCGGCCATGGTTCCAAAGTACTTGCCAGACGACACGGTCAGGTCTCTGGTTCTTCCAGCACAGCAAGTAAAGGCGAGGGACATACATGGTTGAATGACCGGTTCTCCTGCATGAAGATGACAACATGCTCGATTTCCTTCAGGGAGCGAGCTGTCTGTCCCGCTCCTGAAGCTCCCGGGGCAGCAAAGGCATGGTGACGGCGGTCGACAAGGACGGTCGACAACGCCGCCAGCAACAGCACAGAAGTCAACATGGTGCGATGTCCGTGCAACGATATCTCATTCACAGCTCCTCTGCTTCGGAATGTCCTGGATGGAAACCAGCAAGCTTGCCCATGCGGGCTGGAGGGAGACCATCAGGGTATATAAACGGCATTCGAGCCGTTGAGACAAGCTCTTTTGTCCATCCTCGGTCAGCAGGCCACTGGCCATTCTCTGTCCTGGGGGGATGCACGACGAGATTATTGGCATCTCCTCTCCGCTCGCAGCGTTGCATCATCTCTTCCCCACCGTCTGGCTCTCCGGCATCTTCTTCCTCTGCATCCGTCTGCCTCGTCCTGCGTCCTTCACCTCGGGAGCTACCAGAATAATGACACTGCTCGACCTCAGGCAGCAAACTCCGGCGGGTCAGCAGTCCACCTTACCGCACCCCGTCGCCTGGTAGCCACGGGGGAAATGGTCATTCACAGCCATGCCATTGGCCGGGCGGGCATGCTTGGTGAACATGGATGGCCCGCAAGAGATACTTCCAGCAGGGTGGAGGACTAATTGCAGGCGGATATTTTGTATATCTGATAACCTGGTGGTGCGAGGGGAAGCACACCGTAGGACGTAGGACGTAGGACAACATTTGATATCGGCCTCCTGGTCAGCCGTATCCCATCCAGAGCGCCTGATACAGGCCCAGAGACAGCCCCAGACGAGGCCCTCGACCGGGCAGAGCCAGGCACTTTGCACAGTCGTCTCGCTCTGTGGCCGTGTGCGGCTTTTGCAGCCGCTGGGGGGATGTGCGAGATCCCTGGCGGTTCGGTGGAGATGGTCGTAACTCGGCGTGTCACCCCAACGGTCCAGCTCGTATTCCGTCTCGTTATTACATATGATTGATTGCCTGTCATGAACGGTCAATACATGCATGGAATATAGGCACAAAAGGGGTGCAGGTGGGTGCAAGAGTCGTCCGCAAGCGTTCTTTTCCCTCGCCGGCTTCGTCTCCGCCAGCAAACCGACTTCACGACTTCATATCAACGGGCGAAAAGAAAAAACACTACCTTGAAAAGCCAGCTCCACGGCTTCGACGGATCTGCTGCGTATCGCAGAGCAGACTCCCCACACGTGTAGCCCGTCGCAGAAGCCATGGGATGAGCTGGGAACGGCCGGGATATCGCAGCGTTGCAGGGCGGAGGCCAGGGGGGCTGCTGGGAGCTGCTGCTGATAGACATCACCGGCGGACAGCAGATTAACCGCGGCTCGTTCAAGCGATATAAGCACGCGGAACGACTATAGCCATGGCACTAGTTAAGTGTTTCGATGCCTGGATGCTCAAGGCAGACCGGGCCCAGATGCGCTGTTTGGCTGATGTTTGTGCCTGCGGACTGCAATGATCAGCCGCCAGCTAGATAGTCGACGTTCAACGATATCAGCCGTACCGACACACGTCCGGACAGAGACCGTCAAGTTTGGAGTCCTCAGACGTCCAGAGAGATGGACAGGCCGGCTAGCAGACGGCGGCACAACTCGCAGCGGCGGCTTCAGCAGCAGCCCGAGGACGAGAGTGTCGTTGCTGCCGATACCCTTATTATTCCTGTCCAACGTGAGGACGAGAAGAGACCGGCTGGGCCCTCGACAGGGAGCCAGACCGGGGAGACGAAGCCCGAGGATCACAGGAGATCGCTGTCAGGATGCCCGTGGCTGCTCGTCGGCTTCGTCTGCTGCATCTCGACTCTGCTCCTCGTCCTGGGGCTCGCTGCACGGTGGCAGCAAGGGGCCATCCCAAACATATTTGATATTGGCAACCTCCGGCCCAGCTCTTCGCCAGCATCTTCTTCCTCTTCTACAGCTGGGCCATGGAGCTCTCGCCTTCACCCAGAGGACCATCTCTTTCGTCCAGAAACCACGATCACGCTCGAGTGGTCTGTCACCACGGGATATCGCCGCTTGGATGGTGTCAAGAAGCGTGTCTATCTCATCAATGGTAAGTCCTGTACTACTACTTGGCTACCTCCTTGTCTGCCGGTCACTTACTTTCTGACTGTAGGCTTGTTTCCTGGACCGACCATTGAAGCACGCTCGGGAGACTCGCTGCAGGTCCAGGTCACCAACAATATCCAAGACGAGGGCCTCGTCATTCACTGGCATGGCTTGCACATGAGAGGTATTGACGCACTACCTCGCTACCACACAATCCGAACTATAGTATTGCTGCTGCTAACAGCCGTACCAGGTGCGAATCATATGGATGGAGTGACGGGAGTTACTCAGTGCCCGATAGTACCTGGGGATTCCATGTTATACAACTTCACCATCTCCCAGTCTCAGAGTGGCACATTCTGGTAAGCAGGGAGCAAAATACTCTTGTCCCCCATTTTGTATCGAAGGCATCAGGCTTATTTATTCTTACATTGTCTCTACAGGTACCATGCACATTCTGCTCTGCAACGAGCTGAAGGTCTGTATGGCGGGTTCGTGGTACACAAACCATCGACTCCCAGTATGCGGATAGCAAGGGATCCGGCCATACACGCAGATGCTGTCAAATATCAGTACGAAAAAGAGCATCTGCTGCTGATAGGGGACTGGTATCACCGTCCGGCAGAAGACGTGCTGAAGTGGTTTAAATCCCTGGAAGCCAACGGCCAGGAGGTCAGATTTTACCTCTTTTGCCAATGCACACCCCGCAATTGTTAACATTTCTCCAGCCTGTCCCTGACTCATTTCTTATCAACGGTGCCGGGCGGTTCAATTGCTCAATGGCGCTGCCCACACGGCCTATTGACTGCGTGGACGAGGGATATCCTACGCCGGAGCTTCTGCTTGATTCCAGCACTTCGTACCGCATGAGGGTTATAAATGTTGGGTATGTCGGCGTTCTTCTAACCCCCCTCAGTCAGAGGTATAACCCAATACTTACCGTATTTGCAGCTCGCTGGCTGGTGTCAGTCTCGGTTTTGAGCATGGTACTGTGACGCCCATACAGGTCGACGGAGGAACGGAGGTTGAGTTACCGTCTGTCTCTCCGAACGCTCGCTCGATGGGTATTGTATACCCTGGCCAGAGAACGGACTTTGTCTTGCGGAATCCTTTGGGCGAAACAGGACAGTCTTCAATCACAGTAGAGCTTGACCCAGAGTGCGTGATGATATGTCCACTAAGCACCAGTGCAATATGCTAAATACCACGCCATAGATGCTTCAGTCTCCCGAATCCGGCGCTCACCAGAGTCCAAACGTTTCCTATCAGCGGCTCGGCGAAGAAGCCATCTCATCCGCTGTCTGACAACCCCATTGGCGAGGCGGGAACGCATGTTGACCTGACAGAGTTGACTTCCACGGCTTCTACAATATCACACATACCCGCAAAGGCTGATGAGACGTTCCTGGTCTATACGTTACTTTCCAAATTATCGAGCAACAACTACGTCCCTTTTGCATTCTTCAATCACACTTCCTGGCGACCACAGGCAGACCCGCCTCTACCCCTGATCTCGCTGCAACGCAAGGACTGGGACAAGAATCAGTTCACAATCAAGACCAGCAGCAGAGCCTCATGGGTAGATTTAATCGTGAACAATCTCGACGAAGGTCCCCATCCGTTTCACATTGTATGTATGGGAAAACACTCTCCAGTATATGCTCGCTTTGCTAACAGCTCCAGCACGGCCATGACTTTTACGTGATGTCTCTGCACGAGGCGGATACAGGGATGGGCTCGTACAATCCGTGGGATCCAAGTAACAAGGCGCCGGCGTACGATCACTCCCAGGCTATCCTTCGCGATACAGTGCATATCCCTGCTCGGGGCCATGCAGTGCTTAGGTTCCGGGCCGACAATCCTGGAATCTGGCTCTTCCACTGTCATATCCTGTGGCACCTTGCGAGTGGTATGGCGATGCTTGTCGATGTCATGGACAGTGCATCCAGGCCGTTGCATGGAATTCTAAACCAAACGTGCAGGTATCTAACCTGAAAAAGAGAAAAAAAAAAAAAAAAAAAAAAAAAAAAACAAGAAAAGAAAAAGAAAAGAGGTATCAAGGACAAGCGTGTCGTTCGTGATGTTATTGCATACTGCAGAGAGTAACAGACATAGCCATGAATACCAACAATCTCCATTGATGGCCCTACAAAGAAAGAAGCTCCTGGCAAGTTATAACCCTGCCTCGAGGACGGTAGAAGGTCATTCCCCTATCTAGTCGCTGTAGTCACCACCGTCAGAACCTGAGCCTGAGTTGTCATATTCCTCCTGGAGATCTTGGAACTCCTCCCGGCGCTCTTCTTCCTCGTGTTCGTCTAAGTAGATCCAGTCAGTACTATGCTTGTAGAATGAGGACAGAGATAAGAGAACAACGCACTGATTTCATGTGCAACCACGGCAGCACCAATAGCACCGACAGCGAGGCCACCTGCACCAGCAGCCATCATCGCAGCCGTATTGGAGCTCTTCTTCTTCTCCTTCTCCTTGTCATAGCTGGCATGCGAGCTGTCGTATTGAGATGTACCGTACCCTCCTGCTCCAGGTGTTGCAGCCATGCCAGCCGCAGCACCGGTTGAAGCAGCTGCTGGACCAGTTGGGTTGCCAGCGTAATATGAGCTGCCCTCACCGCGATTCTCATAGCCTCCTGGTCCCATGCTCGGGGCCTCCCACTGCGAACGACCGGTGGCCTGCTCGACATGGTATGCACGCTGGTTCACCTGGTCCCAATGCTGAACCCAGCCGGCGGGGAGAGGAGGCGGCGGGCCTTGAGGGGGTGGTGGAGGTCCATACTGCTGCTGCTGGCCTCCGTAGGGCGGCTGCTGTGCATATTGCTGCGGCGGCGGGGGCTGGCCGTACGGGACCTGGCCATACTGCTGCTGCTGGCCGTAGGGAGGCTGACCATATGGAGGCTGACCGTATGGAGGCTGGCCATACTGTTGCTGCTGCGGCGGCGGCGGCTGCTGGCCGTATGGTGGCTGCTGGCTATAAGGAGGCTCGCCATAGCCGCGTTCACCTGCGATGCAGCTCGTCAGTTAGCTGGAGCCGCGATAACGAGTGTGTCGCACCAGAACAAGAGTTGACCAGTTACCTCCTTGCTGCGGCTTGTCTGAGAAGCTGGCCTTCAGCTCTTCGAACTTCTTGAGAAAGGACATGGCTGTCGAGCGAGCTGCAGCCGTGTGGTGAGCTGGCGATGCTGTAGTTGTTGACGTTGTTGACGTTGTCGACTGCAGCAACAGAAACAACAACGACAACGACAACAACACACGGCGAGAGGCATCTTATATAGCGCAATAGCCGAACCTGTCACAGCGACGGGCGAGCCAGCGAGGGGGCATGCATGCCGCCGTACCCGTGAATTCACGACAGAGTATGACTCGAGCTCCTCTTCCGTCACCTCAGCTAACTTCGCGACTCTCTCGTAGGATGATTCGTTATTTACTAGCCACGTCAGCCACAGACGCTGCAGACCGCATGCAGGGTAACTTTGCAGGAGCCCACAGGGAGCAGCGGCTGTTGCTGGCCCGCAACCCGGCGCAAGCCTGTGGCTCAAGGACGAGCTGTCCAGAGGGCCAGAGGGGCTGTTCGGACGGGGCTGAGGGACGGACGGAGCATACGTCCAGGATGACGACTGTCGACAGAAGAGCCTTGCTCAGAGGGCGTGTAACCCCCCTTGTGGCAGAGGACAGGGTAGGATTCCCACAGGTCAAACACTGCTGCCTGCTATTGTGCGTCGATCAATAATACTCAGTACTTTTATATCAAAATGGCTACATGGATTGCTACTGCCACTCAAGCTTTTGTTTCAAGCCCGCGACGGAGCCGTGTGGCTTAGACAGATAGATGCTCAGGAGGAGCTGAAGCAGCGTTTCGCCGTCCCAGAATTGAGTGAGTTAGTTATGGAGACAATGCTGGTCGAGGACGAAGCCCTACTGGCCGAAGTGCTCTTTAAAAAGGCTACAGGTTGGAGTACGATGAACGATACAGAAAGGAAGACCTGAATGATATAGCGGAACTCATAGAGGAAAGGCGTCGTGCTACAGTTATGCTGTAGAGTAAGAAGCCTGGCCGTCGTAAAAACACCGCAGGCTGAGGGGGTTCTCGCCACTCTGTGACGAGTAATTTCCTCCCTGGCAATCTCTCGCTTCTTCATTCAAGTTGCTTCAACATGCTTGTACGGAGTATAATTTCCATTCATCCCTTCAAGCCTCTATATATTTGTTATCATCTTCGACGCAACGATGAAAATTAAGCATTGCGGCTCAAGTAACTAGTTAAGTAATCACCAAATCAGTTACGTAATCAACAGATCAGTTACGTAATTAGATATCACGTGTCGACGAAGTGAATAAGCAAAACAAATCTTCGAGCGATATCAAATTATGCGATTGCGAGCCACCTACTTATTGATCAGAACAAAAGATTTCTTCCCCCTTGGAATCTCCAGACACATTATATCCTCCCTCAGGCACTGTGGTGACTCCGCAGTTGTTTATCACTACTCAATAGCAACCACCACTGATACTATCGTTTTCCTCCGTGTCCTCTCCGCGAGCTTGTCGAGATGCCTCGTCGAGTCACTCCAAGCAATCACAGACGCGCTGGCGATAGCAACCCTATAGGGACACCCCTTAGCCGTAAACAGCAGCGAGATCTCCTTCGTCGGCAACAGGAGTTCCCCTTGGCGGAGGAGGAGGAGCCGTTTCAGGCTGGTATGACTTTGCGATTTGTCCCAGAAAACGCTCGTATCAGACTCAATCCTGCAAAAGGTTGGGATATCCAAGGTGATACTCCGGCTGAACCACCTGTCAAGCTCACAGTCCCGCGTGAGCTTACCAGAATCAAAGTTGGAATCGCCACGGATGAAGCGAAGCCTACTAGACGTCAGATTAGCAAGTATGGTGATCATCGTGAGATATACCCCAAGAACGAGCCTGTTTACATTCGTGCTCGCCCTGCCTATCCTTACTGGGAGTATGCTTCCTCTACAGGTAACCATATTGCTGCATCTCATGTTCGCTTAGATTCAGCATTTAATTCTGCCGACAAATGTACAGCCGCTATGGATTTACTGCGGGCTAAAAAGAAAGCTTGGGAAGAAGCAGAAGATCTTCGTTATAGTAATGAAATGAGGTCCTGGCGTATCCAACAATGTGAATGGGAGATCAAAGTTCTAGAAACAGAATGGTCTCGCGGTAATATTATTATCTTCCATCCAGATACTACTCGCGAGATTATTGATACGGCTAAAGAGCATTTACAAATTCAAATCAATAAGGATATACAGGGTCTTGTTGATACTGCATTTATTGGCAGGCTACCTTCTACTATTATTCGTACTCCGATACATGGAAGGAATCCCCCCCAGTCAGACAAACTGTTGAGAACTCTGCAGCCTTTGCTTGAGGGTGATAGAAGACACGGTACTGTTACTAAACAAAATACTCGCAAACGTGCACGGCCGCAAACCAATTCAGATTCTGAACCCACGGAAAGATCTGGCTCGAGCGAGGATCTTGACACCGAGAGTAGCAAACGCAAGGAGTGTGCAAATGAACAGCGATTGTGTAACTCTAACATTGATAGCAATAGTAAGTATCCTAGCCAAGCAATGTCACTTCCAGAGGAGAGAAATTCTCTACCGAATACAGAAGTAGTCTTTTTTGCTAACCAGCAAGACGGCTGTATAGATATAAATATTGATGGTTCCCCATCCTCTATAGTACCGTCGGGGGCCTCTGAAACCCCTGACCACACTTGTCGACCTCAATGCAACTTTGCTATCAATAATCTCAAGCTTGGGTCACCTGCTCTCAGTACTGTTACCTTTGATATACCCCCTGAGAAGGCTAGCTTTCCTTTTAAAGGCCTCGATGCAGGCTATAAAAGAATTGAAAATATGGCTAGTTGCTACCACCGAGTCTCCATTGATGAACCCTCTCCTAGTTTCAAGGCGAGTAGAGAGAGGAGCAAGAGGAAGGATCAAGCCTCAACACAGATCTCTGAAGAGCTCAAGCCAGCACAATACAGTCATGGATTTAAGACTATGGAGCATATTCATGATAACAACTTTCCACCATCTGACTCTGACGTTGACGCTAACAGCAATGTTCCTTTAATCTCTATACCAAGGTCACTAATTCCATTTTATAAAGACAAGCGTGATCGTGGTGTAACTCCGGATAACCCTGGGATGAAGGAACTTATGGAAACCATTGCTATGGCTGATGGTAGACCTAAAAAAGTAGCTATTAGACACCTCTTACAGCGTCGAGGGAGTTACTCAGAATTGGAATGGAAGCATTTATGGACTTTACCAATCACATATATTGAGGGCTACCTCTATTGCAAAGACCTCGGTATCACCACAGACGGATTTACTATGCATGGAGTAGAAGATATTATTCAAAAGCCCGAAAAAATATGGATCAAAAAGTTAAACAGTGAGAAAAAAGAATACTACCGCCAGATGCGCGGTCTTATGATCTGGGAGAATAGATATTGGCTCTTCAAGATCGATCCGGAGAAGCTCAACCCACCGTCGGGAAAGCAATGGTACGACCGTGCTATTTATATTGCCGATAATGATGGTTATTGGGCTCGACACAAAAACGATATTCTGCATCCTTGGGAAGTTGCATTCCTCACAGACGAGATGGAAGAGCCGGAGAACCAACGGTTGTATCGCGGTATAAGAGTCAAAAAGCGTGTGCTAAAGGACAGAGTGAAATTAGCTTGGCCTAGCTTGTGGACTGAGGAGCTTCCCCGAATCATCGAGCAATACTTTCTGGAGGAAGATTGGCGCCCAGTACGCCGCGAGTAAAAATAGTTTACTTGTGTCAAAACGGAAGCAGCAGCAACGAATATAATTGGTTAAATCAATGATTAGAACGAATATACGGATGCGTAAGGTGTTCAAATTAAACCTATCGAGGTGTAGCTATATAAAGAGTTTTCATTGCTATAAGTATAGATACAAGCTGACTAAGCTATATTTTAACATACCCCTCTAGCTTGTAGCTATATATATAGTTAAATATACTAGATAAGTGCTATATACAAGGCACGTGGTTAATATAGTGACGTTATAATAAAGTAAAATTGATTAATATTATTTAAAAAGAGTATTGTGTTTGATAATATTATAAGGTAAGTCGGAAGTTTGAAAATTTTACTTCCTCCTATAGCTAGTAAAGCTATCTATTGAGTGTCGGAGCTTTTTAATTATTTTTAATCAAAATTTAGTTATTTTTAATAAAAGTTTAATTATCTATTTAAGTATTTATATTTTATTTTTAATTTAATTCTTTTAATTCTTTTAATTCTATTTTTAAAGCTCTTTTTAAATAAGAGTTTAATTATCTATATTAAACTACTAAAAGAAGCTAAAAGTAATTTTTAATAATAATTTTAATAAAAGTTTAATTATCTTTACTAAATTACTAAATATTTAATTTCTTTTTTTTTATTTAAAAGAATAAAAATTTGAAATTTTAATTTTTAATTTTTTAAATATTAAAATAGTTTAAAAAAAGATATAATAATATTTCTCTAATAGTAAAGAATTTAAAATAATAGATTAATAGTTTAAAAGTCTTTTAAAATAGAATTTAAAATATTTATATTTTATTTTTAGTTTAATCTTTCTAATTTTTTTAATTTTATTCTTAAAACTTTTTTTTAATAAGAAGTTAATTGTTAGCATGGTATCGTTGGTTAAAGTCAAGATATCTTCATTGTTGTGTCTAAGTAATATTGGTCACTCTATTAATAATATTATACGGTTAATATAATAACTAAAATAAAGGCTAAATATATAATAACTAAGTATATATTTATTAAGAGGTAGATACCTAGATATAATAGTTAGCCTATTAAAGAAAGATTAGTGCGTTCTTGCGGTAGGTTATTATATTATAAAAGTAAAAGTGAGATATATTAATATAAAATATATTATATTGGTCTTATTAGAAATAAAAGCAAGTTATAAGTATAAAGAAAAGGGTATAAATAAAAGTATAGTTATTAATATATCCTATAACTATATAGCCCTTAGAGTTTTATTAATATCTATATTATTATTAGAGTTTCTAGAGTAAATACTATTAATAATTATATTAATATTTATATATAAGATATCTTATAGGGCAACGTTATTAGCTAATATAATTATAAGTTCTTAATAGTTAACGCGCTACCTAAAGTAAGGGTACTAACCACTACCTAGTAAGGTATAGTTAGTATATATAAGTTAACGTCGAGATATAATTAAGGTAGACCCTCTTAAACCTATTTTAGTATAGTTACTATACTATAGAATATATTCTGCGCTCCTTATAATAAAATAAAAACTTTAGAAATATTTTTATTTACCTTATTAAGAGTGATTTATTACTCTATAAATTTAGTAACTATATTTTTAATAAGGTTATTATAGTAAGCCTCTATATATATATTAATTTAAAGTATATACTAGCTAAATATATAATTATTGATAGTACCGACTTAGTAGTTATCGATAATTTAATTAGTTAGAGTATTAAAGATATATAGGTAGACTAGGCCCTTAAAGATATAGTTAGTAGTATTATTATTTATAGAAAGTAGTAGAGGAGAATCTAATTTAGAAGCTAGGGAGTTTTATAGAGAGCGAGTATAGTTAAGATAGCAAAGCTTCTCGCGTAGCTTATCTCTAGTATTATTTCAACTAGTATTACTAGCCTTATACTTTAAAAATATATCTACTAAGGTTATATCTAGTAAGGAGTTAGGTAGGTATTGCGATATAGTATATTTTAATATAGTAGGAGTATTAGTAGTATTAATCTAAGTAGTAATAGGCTTAATGGTAGATTCTAGTTTAAATAATTAGAAGTAGATATATTCTTCTATAGTAGAATATTCTAGATTAGGTAGCTAGAAGTAGATATATTTTTATTCTTCTATAATAGGATAACTATCGTGATTATATACGGAGGAAGGACTAATAGTACTATACTCCTATTATTTATCTATATTAGTAAGTAGCGTATAAGGATTTACTAGAATATCTTATAGTAGATCGATACTATAAAGCTTATTTTAGATAGAAATAAAAGGTAGGGGCTTATAAAAGATAAACTCTAAATCAAGTTTAGTAGGCCTAGTTAAATTAACGCGGGGTACGGGGTTAGTAAGATAACTAATGGTAAATGGTCTAATATAGAGGATAAAAGAATATACTATCTAGTTCTAAATAGGCGAAATAAATAGCTATTTTAGGTAGTAAGCTATAGAGGCGTGTGGGTTAATATAAGGCTCTCTAATAGATATAGAGCCAAAAGTAAAAATAATATTTTTCTTATAGTAGTAGAGGTAGGTATCTATAGAGGCTATAATCTAGCTATAGTATTAAACGATATTATCTCTATTAAGGATATAATAACCTTTATAAATAATATAGTAGGGGCGGTTATCCTTATAGATAACTAGTACTCCACTCTATAGAATATATTAAAGGTGTATATATCCTTAAGTATTAAAATTATAGGGTTAGTTTTTTACTTACTCATCTAGTAGGAAGAAAAGAATAATATATATAATAGTTTAGTCTCGAAGTTTAATATATTTCTAAAGCTATTATATCTCTTATATTAGTTTAGAAGCTAGCTTCTAGTTTACCTACTCGGGAGGTTTTTATAGATTTAAGTTCTATATTAGAGGAGCGCCCTCTATATAATTATTAAGGGCGAGTATAGATAGATATAGTACCTCCGACTCGACTACTTATTATAGATTATTCTATATAGCTACGAACTAGCGATAGTAGATTATTAAAGCTAAGACTTAAAGTAGGGGTATAGATATAGTTAGGTAGTTAAAAATAGAGTTTAAGGAAGATAATAATAAGGAGAACATGTACTAATAATATCTAGGAGGAGGTAATATAGAAATAATAGAGGATAATAAGGAAGAAGCAGAGTCTATTATTATAATAGTTTTAAATATATAAGAGAAAAAGGAGGTGAAGGAGAATAAAGAAGTAAGAAAAGATATTATAAGGAGAAATATAATATAGAAGTTATATATTAGTATATTATAAAGTAGATTACTATAATAACGCGGGTATACAAGTATAAGGATAGATAGTTATAATAAATAGACTATATAATACTTATAAGGGTAAGCCTAATTATATTTATATACTAATTTAATAGCGTCTTGTAGGTTATCTTATTTATACTAG